GATAATGATAATTATAATGATAGTTGTTGTAATGAAGATACTGCTAAAGGTGATGATTATGATGATGATTGTTATTATCATTATCATTTTATTATCGTGACTATTATCACCATTATAATCATCATTATCATTATCATTTTTATTATTATTATCATAATTTTCATTATTATTATCATTATTATCAGGATTATTATACTTATCATTATTATCATCAATATTGTCTTTATCATTATCATCAGTATTATTATTATCATTATTATTATTACTATTATCATCGTTATTATTATTAACATCACCATCGTCCTCCTCCTCCTCCTCATTATTATTATTATCATTATTATTATCATCATCATTATATACGACCACCACTACTACTACTAATAATAATAAAAATATGATAATGATAACAAATATTACCATTATAAAAACAGCCAAAAATAATAATGGTAATGAACAAATCAGAAGAAAAACATAATCAAAACGTGACAGAGAAAAGGAGAAAGAAAAAGCGATAAACAAAGAACGAGAGACAGACCGAAAGAACGAATATCAGAGACAGAAAGAAAGAGAGACAGACCAAAAGCGAGGGAGACAGAGAGAAAGAGACAGAAAAAGACACAGACCGATAGAGTACGAGAGCCAAAAAAAAAAATCAGATATATATATAAAAAAAAAAACACACAACAGAGACGAGAAGAAAAAAAGATTCCCCGACAGCTCTCCGTGCTTACGAGCGTGGACTGAGCGAGCGAGCAACGAGTGAGCAGTATCGAGAGGGCCGGGCGGGGGGGCAGACAGGCGTAAACCCCTCATAATGGATAGCTTCCTTCTTGGGATTGCTTGTCGGGACTCGTCTGGGGAAATTACCCGAGCCATCAAAGTCTAATCTTACAGGGCTGTTCCACCAGCGTTCAGTGTACACACGAGCAAGTGGAGTGGAGTGGGTGGAGGGGTAGAGGAGGTGGAGGGGTGGAGGGGGTGGAGGGGTGGAGGAAGTGGGGGTGTGGGCGGGAGGTGAGGAGGAGGAGGAGGAGGAGGAGGAGGAGGAGGAGGAGGAGGAGGAGGTGCGGGTGGGGGTGGAGGAAGTGCGGGCGGGAGTGGAGTACGGTGGGGGAGAGGGAAGTGGGAAGGGGCAGGGGGTGCTCGTTCCGGGGGAATGCCTCCCTCGGGGCTATAGGTCTGCTGAGGTTGCTGAATTCGCCCATCTCCTCCGTCTTCGCGGTTAGTATTACAAGACACCAGAACAACACCTCCAGGGGCGACGGGCAAGGGAGGGGAGGGGGGGAGGGCGAGATTACCCGGAAGCTTCCAGACAAGAAAGAGGAAGAAAAAGAAACAAAGAGAAAAGAAGCGTATAATTCCCGCTGGTTCCTGACCTCCGCCGACGCCCGCGCTCGTCTTTTCTCGCCCTCTGCAGATGCGGTCGGCGGCTCAGATCTGATCTCGCGGTCGTGCGGTCACCCGCTTGCGCGCCGGTGGATGAAAATTTACGGTAATTACGAAATATTGCTCAATTACGGCCATTAAGCTGCCCGGATCTCCGGAAGGGGGACGTCTTTTGTCGCAATCAAATGTCCCTCTTTTTTTTCTTTCTGTTTTAAATGAATAACAGAGTGTAATGGATACACCGCATTCGAATTATGGAAAATCTCGTCTGATTTATCCTGCTCTTGCGGATGTCGTAAACACTAGACTGGTGTGCGTAATGAAGGCCGTAAACAACGACCTGGTGTGTTTAATGAAGGATTTTGGCTCTCTCGCCATCAGGAGTTTCCTACGCGCCCCTCTCCCTCGTCCTCTTCCTCTCCCTCTCCCTCTCCCTCTCCCTCTCCCTCTCCCTCTCCCTCATCCTCATACCCCCCTCCCTCTCTCCCTCCTTCCCTCACCCTGGCCGCCATAGGGAGGGAGAGAGGGGGAGAGGGAAGAGGGGGGAAGCAGTGGTGGGAGGGAGGGGGTACGTTCCTGACCCCAGCATGCGCGCCCGTGGCTCCCTCGTGACCCCCAGGGTGTGACTGCGGCGACGGGAGGACCTTTTGACCTCCGTTATGCACCCCCCCCCCCCGACCTTGACATTAGCAGGCTCTCGGTGGACCCCGATATATCAACGCTGGCTCGGTTCCCTCTTCGGTAATATTTCTTCATGGCTCACGATGTTTGTCGAAGATGGCTCATGTCAAACCCCCGTTATGCTGACACTGCCTCACGATAAACCCCGATTCTATCAACTGTGGCTCACATCAAACCCCGTTATATTAAGTGACTCAAGTTAAACCTCGTTATATCGACAACAATCTACTTCAAACAGCTATACAATAAAAAAAAAAATCTGAACACCAACATCAATAAATCCAGACGTAGCGACGGTGGCACTTCGCGAATCCCGGATTAATGATGGTTCCCGGATTAATGATTCTCCCGGATTAATGATGGCTCCCGGATTAATGATTACTCCCGGATTAATGATGGCTCCGTCTTGGTGATTCCTTTCCTCCCGACCTCG